TTTAATTTTGGAAGTGCAACTAAACCAGTTTTTTCTTTTTATTTCAAATCCTGGTAAAACATGAAAGCTAAAATGTGTAACATAATCTATATTATCGTGAATTGAAGTAGAGAAAAGTCCTTTCCAAACTAGACAGGAAATTACCAGTAGAAAAATTTTATAGTTCAAGGAACATCAGTTTGGCATTCATAATAACATGGGCAAGAGCCACTCAAGATGTTCATCTTGTAAGTAATGAGAATACTAAGTAAATCAGCATTATAAAATAGATTTAAAGGAAAAAAGCTATTAGAACTAAATTAACAGAATTACTTTTAGTTATGCCTTCTAGTTCTACTTAAAATTTCTCGAGTTCTATTTACATTTAGGAAAAAGGATATAAAATGAATCTTAAGCCTTGGATTTACTCACACTTAATTAACATATCTTAAAAATCATTAACTTAAACATCTTAAAGTGTTCAATATTGTTGGTTTTATATATTTTAAAATAAAATGTAAAACTTCCTGCCAGTTACTTTATTTCTGCTCAGGAAAAAATAATAGCATCATATTCATCAAACAAGTTGTTAAAAATCATAGATTTAATTAAGACAGAACATGTTTTGGTTGATACCAAAACTGAGTATTAATTTTGATCTATACTCTAAAAAGATTCAAATAGCCAGGCACAGTTTTCATACCTATAATGCCAGCAATTTGGGAGGTTGAGACAAGAGGACTACTTGAGGTCAGGAGTTTGAGACCAGCCTGGGCAAAATGCCAAGACCCCATCTGTACAACAAAATTTTTAAAAATAGCCAGGCCTGGTGGCTTGTGCCTATAGTCCCAGCTACTCAGGAGGCTGGGGTGAGATTACTTGAGCCTAGGATTCAAAGTTTCAGTGAGCTATGGTCATGCCACTGTACTCTGGCCTGGGCAATCGAGCAAGACCCTATCTCACTCATTCACTCATTCATAAACTAATTAATTAAACATTCTGGCTATATTTAAATATACATTTTAAAACATATCTGAAAGAATGTACATGCAAAA